AGCAGAATTCTTTCCCTAGCAGTTTCAGGATTGTGGTCCCCAGCCTCCTGAGGGGTGTCTCCTAGGGATTACTCTCAGCTCCTGGAGGCTGCAGGGAGATCGCAGAACCAGCTTACAACATGGCAGCAAACATCTTCAAAGCCAGCTAAGACTAAGACAGGAATGTAAACCAGGTTCTGTCAGGGATGGTAGTACTAATGAGAGGAAGGAAGGGTAAACAGAAAGGGCAAAGGAAGGTGAATATGTTCAAGATACTTTATGCACCTGTGTGCAAATGGAATCATGAAGCTCATTGAGATTGGTTTTACCAGTGAGGAAGTTGCATGCACACAGCAGTTACCCAGCTTGGGTAAGATGACACACTTCTTAGTGACCAGCCAGAACTACTGGCTGGACTTTTTACTGGAGTTACTGGTTCGTCTGTGTTCAATTATGGGATATAACTTACTAAAAGCATAATAAAAATTAATTTTTAAAATTCCATCATATAAACTAAAACTTCTTTCCCAATATGACAGCTAAAATTTTAATGCTAAGAGTTAGATATATAGGAAGGTTCCAGGCCAAAGGCCTAAAATAAGAATTTCCAAATGTTGGGCTTGGGCATATGGTATTAGAGAATGTATTTTGCCTATATGAGGTCCTAATTAAATCCCCAGTACCAAATTAATAACTTGTTGCCAGTCTCAATATTGTTGCAAAACTCAATCTTCCTAAATATTTCTATTGTATAAAATGGGATGCAATGCCTTACATTTAAACTAAGCTGAATTATCTATTTACCATATACATATATGTATATTTCTTGGCTCTGTATATTTTATTTGAAATGATTCCTAAAGTTACACTAATTATAGTAATGCAAAGAACGCTGGGGAAATCTTGTTAATAACAGTGTTAGAACACTGTTTCCTGTGTTTTAATCCACTGGAGTTGGGGAAGAAGACTTTACTATGCAACTTATTTAATATCAATTATCAGGGGTTGGGAAAGTGGCTCAGTGGTAAAGTGCTTGCCTTGCATGCATGAGGCCCTGGGTTCAATTCCTCAGGACCACATAAGCAGAAAAAGCCAGAAGTGGCTCTGTGGCTCAAGTGGTAGAGTGCCAGCCTTGAGCTGAAGAGCTGAGGGACAGCGCCCAGGCCCAGAGTTCAGGCCCCATGACCAACCAAAAAAAAAAAAATATCAATTATCAGTCTTCATCTTTGTGCCAGATGTTTTAGGAGGTGCCTGGAGGAGGAGGAAAGGTCAGAAAATGACCAGTAATCCTCTCATGCAAGGATAATTACTCTAGACATATTAATAAACTTCTGTATTTTTTACACGATTTTTAGTAACAATGGCACAGTATACTTTTTTTTAAATTATAATTACATAAGCAAGAAGCAGTGTTCTTGCGTAATTGCAAGAAGCAGTACAGAGTTTGTCAAATTGTAAAAGAAAAGGCTTCCTTTCTACCCCTGCCTTACCAGCCAGGGCTGTACTCACTTTGTGTGTGTGTGTGTGTGTGTGGGTATACATATATCTTATACATTAGATTATAGTATATATATATGTATATGATATTTTTCTAATGTATTAAACTCTATTGGTCAAAGGAGACTCTTCTAATCATCACTGTCTGAAATCCATCTCAATTTCTTTCTGACTTTTTTTCACTTCTGCCCACTGTTCCAACCGCTATATCGCATTCTCTTTCTTAAATAGTATTTTCTCTTTGACATTTGTTTCTGAGTACTTTTATTTAGTGTAGGGTTCATGATCACAAAATTTCTGAATTCTAGAAAAATGCAAAATAGAAAATTTATTTATTTATTTATTTTTTAAACTCAGCTCTTTTTTTTTTTTTTTTGGGTCCGGTCGTCAGGCCTGAACTCTGGGCCTGGGTGCTGCCCCTCAGCTCTTCAGCTCAAGGCTAGTGCTCTACCACTTGAGCCACAGCTCCACTTCTGGCTTTTTTCTTTTTGCTTATGTGGTGCTGAGGAATCAAACCCAGGGCCTCAGGCATGCAAGGAAAGCGCTCTAACCACTGAGCCACCTTCCCAGCCCTAGAAAATTTATTTTGTCTTTATATCTTTTAAAAGTTGTAGATAAATACTGCTATCTTGATTTTGAATTTTAAAACATTGTTCTGCATTCAGTGAAGATGAAGTCAGGTAGCAGTCTCATTCTCCAGGTTTTTCTTTTTCTGAAATGTTAAAAAAATATTGTCATTATAATATTCCATCAGAATGTTTAGCTTTTAGTAAACATGTTCTTTATTTTTATTTAAGAATGTTTTTGTCAGTTACTTTGCTACCTTCATTGTTTCTGTCTACTACTACCACACTTTATATAAAGTGAGCTTTAAATCTTCAGGGTTTGGTTTCCAATTTTAAATTGCTTATGTGTATTTTCTATATAATCCTTCTATTGATCTAAGAGATTTTTTTTTGGAATTATCTTCCAGATTAAAATCTATAGCATCTAATTTTCATTTCCCCTGTACAGAGAATTTTTTCTTATTGGTCTTGTTTTTAATTTCTAAGGTATTTTGTTTTCCAGTTGTTCCTTTTTTGATAGACTGTTTTTTTTAAGTCTGATGATCTTAATCTCAATAAAAATACCAAATGGAGGTGTTGTTTTATGTCTATTTAGTGGACTGTATATTTTTCCATTGTCTCTATGATAGTTGGTTTTCTTTTTTTCATTCTTTTCTTTTATAATTCCACCTTCCCTGAACTATCTTAAAATTTTTCTTTAGTTCTGGATGATGCTCGTGCGTCTAATTGGAAGACTTCTTCCATTCTTACAGTCATGGGTACTTCCTCACAGTTGGGTATATCTCTTTCAAAATCAGGTCCCAGCACTCACCTAGTGTTTTCTACATTCTGTATGTTTCATTCAAAATTTTAATGTATTAATTTATTGCTTGTATAGTTTTTTTTTTTTAGTATATACTCCTTCCTTATTCCTAGGCATTTGACTTTTAAAAGTTTTCATTAAATAACATAATGAGCAAGATGCACATTCACTTTTCACCCATAATGTTGATTCCTAAAGTGAAATTTATGGGTCATGAAAGGTATTAATAGACATTGCTAAATTGTCTTTTGGAAGATTGTAACAATGGTTAATCCTGTATGAAAACACTCACTCCCATACTCCTAACAGCAGTGTCATGTCTGTAGTCATCTTTGCTGATGCATATGTACTGCTAGCACTTCATTCCTATTTGCATCTGCAAACTTAAACACCGCTATTAGATTGTTTTGCAGATGGACTCAATATCCTTTGCCGCTCTTTCTGTGAGAAGGCTTGTAAGAAGCTCTTAATAGTTACTTTTCTTTTGCTTAGAAACCTTGACTCCTAGAAGTAAGGTGCAGGAATGAACTGGAAGTAGGATAAAGACTTGTCATCCCAATTCCTCTATTTTGTGTCGCTGTCCTTTGCTTTGAGCCATTCACTTCTGCAGTCACTTTGCAGCCATCTGGGAAGCCAGAAGAGTAGACCACTCTCCAGGCTCTACTGGACTAATCCTGATACCATGGATTAACTGTCAGATGTCTTCTGACATCACTTCTGACCAATATGAACAGACCTGTGAGTCTGTTTTAACTCTCCATACCTTCTCTCCTTCAATTCTCTTTATTTAACCTGAGGCAGTTTTCTGTACCCTAGAAGACAGCTGAAGTGAGCCGAATGCTGTCTTCCCACAGGATGCCCATACTATACTATAAATGATGTTATAAATATCCAGAAGGCCCTTTGCAAATAAAAAGTTCTCCATCCCTGTAATGGTCTGTAAATGTAACAGGAAATACTGACAATTAAAATAGGCCACAGTATTTGAACTTTGAGTGTTCTACATGAGCAGCAGTTTTGACATTACATTTTGTGCTTACTGATTTTTGAAGTGAATAGAACTGACAGCATTTTGAGTAAAACATTTGAGTTTCTACATGTCACTTATTGGAACAATTCTAAGGCTCTATCCATCTGTGGATATCACACTTTATTACCCCTGCCCTTAAAAGATTCCACCAACACTGCTGGTTAGTGTTCAATTTGAATATGGAGTTTTCGAGAAATAAAGGTACATTATAGTGCTAGAGGCCATGATGTATGTGCTGTGCTTTGTGAACCTTGATGGAAGACTAAATTGATGAGCAGATTTGCAGAAAAAAACAGTTACTAGTTTTCACACAGATCTAGCCAGGGGGTCTAAAACCTGTATTTTAGGTCCTGCAATGAACTACATGCATGTCTGTGGGCAAGTTTTACTCCATTATTCCTTCTTTTCTTTTCAGATTCCTTTTACACTGTGTAGGTGCTTTCCAGAATATGGTCTGCAGAAAAATACTGCCACACATAACTAAAGAAGAAATTTTAGATCCATGGTTAAATAAATAAAATATGTGCTAAAGATACTTCTCAGAGAAATGTACAATGTGTAATTAAGTAATAAAGGCGCTGAGAAGTCTTTCTGGAAGGAAATCTTTAAATCTTTGAACCTATTTCTAGACATCTCTAGGAACTCTGATAACCTTGGGAATCTCTATTTGCTATTGTTCCAGGTCATTAAACACCTATAATTCTAATTCTGGTAAAAAGTTTTATCATGTATAAGCAAATTGTTTTACAAAGGCATTTCAATTTATAATAACCATGAAATTTTCTTAGGAAAATGTGGAAAACCCTCTTAATCATACAGAACTATGGCTCACAGATTTTTAAATATAGCAACATGGAGAGGTCTTGTTTTGTCTTGTGAATACCAAGATTTTGGTGTGGAACCATTAGTCAGAAAAATACGAAGTCAGAACTTCATCTACCTTTTGGGATCTGCTGTCTAGTCCCTCACCTTCTATCCAGAGTGTTTATTCAAGCTGAAATTTGATACTGAGTACTTTTCACATTAAACTTTTCATGTTTAATATAACCTCAATTACTGTTGACATATGTATATGTATATAATTTTGATTCCTAAAGTGTGTGTGTGTGTGTGACCTTATTTCTAGGATGGGTGCTGCAGACAACATATATAAAGGACAGAGTACATTTATGGAAGAGCTGACTGACACAGCTGAAATCATCAGAAAAGCATCATCACAGTCCTTGGTGATCTTGGATGAACTGGGAAGAGGGACAAGCACTCATGATGGAATTGCCATTGCTTATGCCACACTCGAGTATTTCATTAGAGATGTAAGTATCCTCTGCTTCTGAAAACAGTTAATTGATTTTTAAACTAACACCATTTTAAATTGGCAGTTCATATGTATTGGTAAAATTATAGAATGATTAAATCAAGCTGTTTTAGCATATTCATTACCTCACTTTATCTTTTGTGGTAAAGCAGCTAAAATTTAATTCCTTGGTTATTTTGAAATATATGATATATCATTATTATTACTGTGGTCATAATACCTTCATATAATCCTTGCATGCCATTTGTTTACATGCTACACAAATTATTTTCTAGACCTTCGCCTCCAAATGCTTAGTTACCTTTGTTTGTTAGAATAGACCTGTCCTGATATTGATCATGAGAATGCTTCACAATGAACTCAGATACATTGGCTGTAAATAATTTTTAGTCATTGGATGTGTGTTACTTTCTTTCGCTAAAACAAAATAAACCTGGTCATAGGAAAAAGGAACTGTTTATTTTCTTCATAAGATAAATCAAGAATAGAAACTACCCATCTAAGCCCAATTATTCAAGGAAAGAGGTAGAGATAGTTCAGAAATTTCTACTCTGAAATACATTTTTCAGTGATACCCTAAAAGAACTCAAGGTTAGACCTTTGGTCTCTTCTCCGAGTCTCTGTTTCAATAACCATAACTCCTTCAACACTTACCTGTTTTCAGAATCCCTGTCTAAATATTTGTTTGTGTCAAGCTGTCCAACCCTGTCATCTCTATGAAACTCTCCCTTTTTATTTACCGTTTGCCTTTCTTTGTGTCTCAGTTTCTTCATTTCTATCTGTCCCTCATAGCGCCTGCCCTGAGTCAGCTCCCCCTTGTTTCCCTCCCCCCTTTTTTCACTCTTTGTCTCAATCTCTTCTCTTCATTTTCATTTTTTGTCTTCCTTAGTTATTAAAAACATTTTCTTGCTCATATTTCTTTCTAAAAAAGCAATGCAAAACTACATTGCCTTTATCTTACCTTGTTCTTACGTGTCCCTGAGTTTGGCTTTTTCTTTTTGATTTTTAAAATTATATGACAGGTTTTCCTTCTTTTTAGGATTATATATTAATTGTACAAAAGGATCTTCACAGTGTACTGTATGCACTCACATACACACACACACACACACACACACACACACACACACACACACACACACACACACACACACACACACACACGCGCGCGCGCGTACAGTTCAACGAGCAGATTAACTTCTTGTTAGCCCTCTTTCCACTCCCTGTTTTCAACAGCTTATAATGGATTTCCCGATGCTATCATCATACATAGGTTGTATAAAAGACAGAATCTTAAGTAAATAGGGATTATGTCTGCAACCAATCTCAAATGATTCATGTGTGTATGTTGTGTGTGTGCATATAAGTTTATGTATTCCTGCACGTGTGTGCTTTGAGGAGGAAGGGAAGATGGCAAAATATTACCAATTGGCCATCTAGATAAAGAACATATGGTATTTGCTGTACTTTACCTCTACGAAATACTCCCGTCCTGAATTAACAGTTTACAATTAAAAAAATAAAACATCGTTTCTTGTATGTCTTCTTGTTACAGGTGAAATCTTTAACCCTGTTTGTTACCCATTATCCTCCAGTTTGCGAACTAGAAAAAAGTTACTCCCAACAGGTGGGGAACTATCACATGGGGTTTTTGGTTAACGAGGATGAAAGCAAACAGAATCCAGGTATGAGATGTCCCTGTAATAGTTTCAAATCCAATGTTATTGCCTTCTAGTTTGATAGCTGAGTTTATAGAAACATAAACATATTGCGTACCTGAATATCAGCTATGAATAACTTTTTCCCCAAATTCATTTGCTTTAGACTTTGGGCCAAGTAAAAAATGCGTTTTTTATGTGCTAACTTTGAGTCCTTCTCTATCTTCATCTCATTTTAAATGGAAACCCTTTAAATCCAAAAGGTGTGGGTGGAGGTGGAGGAGGCACTTGGGTTCCTTTTAGTTCCTTAGATTCCAGTGTAATTCTTATCATCCCAAGAAAGGTACTTTGATAGTCATCTGCTAAGTGTTAGTCATCCTTGAAAATGTCTAGTATTTCCCCTCAGAAATCTTTTAGTTGACATTAATTACTTACTAGGGCCTGATCCTATACCAGATATATGTTTTATCTTATTACACATCAGCCATTTAAGTAGGGGATAAACTGAGCTAGCATGCATAGTTTTCTTCCACTTTGCTAGATCTGCGATGGGAGATCAACAATATTTTTTCTAGCCTTCCAATTTATTGCTACTGTTACAGAAATGAGACATTTTATGAAAAAGAACACCATTAGCCAACAGAAATAAATTCAAGTACAATAAGTACATCTTAAGTTCAGGTATAGTAAGTCATCTAGTAGGCTCTAGCATATTTTCCCCCAGTTCCCTAGTACTTTTTTAAAGTTACCAGCCTGTGGTACTTTACACAGCTAGTGTGCTATAATGGAAAATCCATTATCTAATATACTCCAGAGTCCAAACTTAATTTTGGAAAAGCAGTAAGTATGGACCTGAAAAAGAAATCAGGAAAGTGGCCCAAATAAAACAAAATACTGGGCCTCAGATAAACTTAATGTTAAGCAATTCCTACTTTTCACCACCACGCAGCCTTATAAAAACACATCATAAATTCTGTCATGGAAGTAGTTTGGCCTTGACTAATCTACATCCAATGTGACAGAAGGAGACTTAGAAGCTGAAACCCAGGGACAAACAAAGTAGAGTTCATGAGGAGGGAAGGGACAGAGGCAATATTGACAGGCACTTGATGTGAACTGGCTGCTCACCCAGAACAGTATCCTTTCCCCTTTCATGTTTTGGCATTTTAGTCTATCCATGCACATAATTCTTAAAATTAAATGATGCTAAAAGGCTTCTGCTAACAAGCTGCTTTTGTTCCTTCATTCCAAGCCCTTCCCCATCCAGGCCCAAGGCAACTACTTTTCCAAACTCTTTTCTCTATTTCTGTCAAACATCCAGGTAACATTCATGTTTTCCTACCTCTTGATTGATCATCTTTGACACATTATTGATGGACTTCTCATTGTGTTAGTGAGGATTTCAGCATTCCTTCCTCTGTCCTCCTGATGTAGTCATTATGAATTCATGCCCATCATTTTCACTGTTGCTGCAAAGTATTGCCCACTGACAAGTCAAGTATGGAGGAAAGTACAGTTTCTTTGTTTTACAGTTGTTTGTGTTTTCACACAGATAAGAAGAATGTTCCCCTACCCTCCAGGAACTTTGTAAAATGCCTCTGTCCACATCATCCCACATAATTAAAACGGTTGTTTCCACTGATTCTCCCTTCTGGAATCATTTGTTCTGCTCAGATGACCTGGTTTCTGTCCAGGCCTGCTGCATGGCTCTTGTCCTATTGCGACATCCTGAAAGTTTTCTCCCCAGCTTTTCTGTGTATTTGATTGCCAGTAACAAAATGCTCAGACTGAGAGCAACTCAAACATTAAGGTTAGACTGTATAAGGTGATATTACAGGGGCCTCAAAGGAAGAGTGAGCCTGAAGTTCTCCCCTTCTGTTCTCTAAGCTCTCTCTTCCTCCCTAGCTGGCTCCATATCAGGCTAGGGACAAGATGACTATAGGTCTTTTAGGCCTCATACCCCGAATTAGCCATGTCCAAAGGCACAAAAAGTGTAGCATTTCCTGTTGCTTTTTTAATTTGTATGTTATTTGTTTCGTTTTCTTTTTCTTTTTTTTTTTGTGCAAAGATTGAACCCAGGTCTTTGTCCATATTAAGTAAATGCTATATCCCATCCACACTTGTGGTGACTTTCTTAGAAACGGGATGGTTTTCTTAGATGCTATTTAACATCTTACGATTGTCCTGTCACCTTTTCAAAAATTGGATCTCATCCTATCCTTAAGCCAGTATTTATAAGCAAACATGGCAGATCTAGTTCAATCAAGATCTACTTTTAGAGCCAGATATTAGGACACAATCTCTTCAGTTAAATAAGCTGAGCGTTCATTCCTTATTATATTATATTTTTTAAAGAGGTAGAATAGCATGTCAGAATGAACTGAATAAGGTAATTGTTGAAACTTTGTGTGAATTAGACTTGCATATTTGATTGACAATTCAGCCAGGATGGGAATTTTAGGTTGAAAATCATTTTCACCCAGGATTTTAAAGCATTGAACCATTGTAATGTTCCTGGCTATATCTGTACTTAAACCATTCACCCTAGCCATATTCTTCTTCAGAGTTAGAGGTCCTTTCATAGGCCATCAGAGAATGTCTCAAAGACATGGGTTCCAAGGTGTTCTCACTGTCTGTTCCTAGTGGTGTGGTGATAAAGTGATGGACCAGCAGTCAGGAAACCTGTGTTGTAGTCTTATTTCCATCTCTAAAATTTTAGTCAATTCAACTAATTTTATTTTTGTAAATCTATCCTAAAAATGACTTGATCAGCATGTATCTCTTTAATAGCTTCCTAGAGAAGCTTGGCTTTAAAATAAGGTGTGCTGAGTTTCCTTATAGTCAGAAATAAAAATGATAACATTCAGTGGCTCTAGTGTCAAATCATTTTTAAAATACTTTAAGACTGGATATAGGTGACTCACACGTGTAAGAGGAGGCTGAGATCTGAGGATCATGGTTCAAAGCCAGAAAAGTCTGTGAGACTCTTATCTCCAATAAACTACTCAAACAAAGCCAGAAGTAGCACTGTGGCTCAAGTGGTAGAGCTAGTCCTGAACACAAAGAGTCTCAGGGACAGTGCCCAGGCCCTGAGTTCAAGCCCCAGGACTGGCAAAAGAAAAAAAAAAAAAGAATGTGTCACAGTCTGTAAGTAAAGTCCTTACCAACGACTTTTGTTGAGAGGCTATAAAGAAATTACTTGCTTTTGTTCATCTTTTCTCTTATTTGGCTCCATATTTCCATCTTACATGTACATGTTCATACACATACTCCACCAAGAGGTTAACTTGAGGCAAAGCATAACTACAAATGGAGATTTCCCAGGTGATTATAAAAGAGGAGCTATGTTCTTCATGTTAAATTGTGAGAACTAAAGTGGAGACTAGCATATGGTAACAAACTCAGCCACCGTTAATACTCAGGTATATTAATAAAATATTCAGGGCAATGTAATATATGTTATAATGTAGCTATAGTCTTTATTATGCATTAAAAAGAATTGTATAAGCATACAGGTTGACCCATTGTAACAATGAGACTTAAAGACATTATGTTGAAAACACACTTTACAACTTGGGTGTCGGGGAATGAGCAGTTGTTGAGGTGGGGACGGAAGGGATGGTAGGGGAAAAACAAAGGAGGGTGTACTCATTACCTTACTCAGGTAACCCCTCTGTACAGTTTCTTTACAATAAAATGTATATATTAAAAAAAGAATTGTAAAAGCAAGGCACAAAAGTTTGGATCTGTAGGTTCCAGTGATTTGGCTTCGAGGCAGTGGGATTGCTTGAGCCTAGGAGGTTGAGGCTAGCCTAAACAACATAGTAAAACCATATTTACATGCACACATACACACATATACATTCTCTCTCTCTGTATGAATGTGTATACAATATGGTATATATATTTTATATTATATATTCATATATTAATATTATACATGTAAAGCATATATGTTTTACTTATTTTTTTGGTGGTACTAGGGTATTGAATTCTGGGCCTCTCACTTGCTAGGCACTTTAGCCACACCTTCAGCCTCTTCCTACATTGGTCATTTTTGAGGTAGGGACTTGCTTTGTGCGCTGTAGTGCTCCTACTTGTGCATGCCCATGTCATTGAGGATAGAAGATGCATGCCACTGCACCCAGCCTTTAGTTGAGATGGAATCTTGTGAATTTCTTTTTCCCTAAGCTAGCCTCAAGCCTCAGTCACCCAGTCTTTACCTCTCAAGTAGCTAGGATTATAGGCTTAAGCCATTGAGCCCAGCCATGTTTATTTTATATATATATATATATATATATATATATATATATATATATATATATATATAATATGGCTATCTGTATTACATACCTAAAAATATACAAATGTTATATATTATATATGAAATTATATACAAAAACCAAAAACATTAAAAACCCTGAGAATCCATCATCCAGTCAGTTTTCGTTGTTGTTGTTGTTGTTTGGTTTTGGTTTTGATGTCAGTACTAGGGCTTAAACTCAGGTGAACTCAGGGCTGGCTACATGCTCTCACTTGGTTTTTAAATTCAGGGCTCTCTCTACCACTAGAGTCATACCTCCAGTTCCAAGCAAATCAATTTTAATGAAGGGACATTTTGTGTCATTATTAGTAAGTGCTCAGAAAATGTTGGCTGGCTGGACAGGAAGACTTGAATGAATGGTATTTAAGAAAGACCAGCATGGGGTCTAGATTATACAGAATCTCTGAAGATAGGAAGTTAGATAGCACTAAACCAGTTGAGGTGATAGACTATTGTTTGGTCTGTTTTTTAAAGATAGTTTGCTTTTTTTCTTTCTTTGGTGCCAATCTTAAGGCTTGAACTCAGGGCCTTGACACTGTCCCTGAACTTTTTTGCTCAAGAATAGTTCTCTACCACTTGAGCTAAACTTTATTTCTAGCTTTTTGGTGGCTAATTGGAGATATAAGACTCATAGATGTTTTCTGTCTGAGCTGGCTTCAAACCTTCATCCTCAGATCTCAGTCTTCTGAGTAGCTAGGATTACAGGGATGAGACCCCAGCACCCAGCCAGATAGTCTGCTTTCTTGGTATCTTACTGCTATTACTTTTTTATGTTTACTTTATGTTTTTGACTTTTTTATGTATATTTTTATTGTAAAGGTGATATACAGAGAGGTCACAGTTACATAAGTCAGGTATTGAATACATTTCTTTTTGAACAGTGTCACCCTTCCCTTATTCTCTCCCAGTTTTTTCCCTCCTGACCCTATTCCCCCACATTATATAGTTCATTTCCAATGTAGTGACTAGTGAGTATCGCTGCTGAATTAGGTCACTCTTTGTCCCACCATTTCTGTGCTTCCCCACCCCCCTCTCCAATCGATAAACTTACATGCAATACAAAAGGTACAACAATCAAAAGAGGGGGAAAAAAAAACAGAAAAAGAAAGGACCACAAAAAGTAAAATAAATCTGGGCGCTGGTAGCTCATGCCTGTAAACCTAGCTACTCGGAAGGGAGTCTGAGGATCATGGTTCAAAGCCAGCCTGGGCAAAAAAGTCCATAAGACTCTTATCTCCAATAAACCACCAGAAAACCAAAAGTGGCACTGTGGCTCAAGTAATAGAGCACTCACCCTGAGCTGAAGAGCTCAGGGACAGCGCCTAGGCCGAGTATAAGACCCATGACCAAAACACAAAAACAAAAACAAAACAAAACAAAACCCTTGTTTCCATTTCTTGGAGTTAGTTTTGGTAAGAATCATTTTATATGGTCATATTCATATAGCTATTTAGTCCTATGATCCTCTGCTAAGCATATCCTCCTTCGATCTCATTGTAAATGTTTAGAATCATGTTTATCTTGTCCTTCAATGAAATTGAAAGGGAAAGATCACTACCAAACTCAATCTGTGAAGCCAGCATAACCCTCATCCCAAAACCAGAAAGAGAACTATAGACCCATCTCCTTGATGAACATCAAAGCAAAACTTTTCAACACCTAACCAAAAAACTCATACTGTGATCAAATAGGATTCATTCCAGGGTTGCAAAGCTGCTTCAACATATGCAAGTCAATTAATGTAATTAAGCACATCAACAGGAGCAAGGACAAGAGCCACATCAAAAGATGCAGAAAAAGCATTTGACAGGATCCAACACCACTTTATGATAAAAGCTCTGGAGAAACTAGGAATCCATGGAACATTCCTCAATGTAGTAACAGCTGTAAATGACAAATGTATAGCCAGCATTATACTTGATGGTGAAAAGTTAAAACCATTTTCTCTAAAATCCAGAACGAGACAAGGCTGTCCACTCTCTCCACTCTTCTTCAATATAGCACTGAAATTCATAGCCTGAGCAATAAGGCAAGAGACAAACGTAGAGGGGATCCAAATAGGGAAAGAAGAAGTAAATCTATTGACATTTTATCTTGTGAGCATTGGAGAATAGCAAAAGCCCTCCGGGTTTGCAGGGATTGGTTTCTACATACCCAGGTTCCCCCTCCCTCTTCCTCACCTGTACTTTGTGTTCCTAAGTTTCATTTGAAAGCAGTATAATCTTAGTGTTTTGTACGAGAAATTTAAGTCTATACCCCTGAGTGCATTGGCATTTTTTCCACCACCCACTTATAGCAATCACCCAGAAAAGACATTATTTGTTTGTTACTGAGTTCTTAGAGGAGGGGAAGGGAAGTTCCTTCTACCTCTTTCACTGTTGTATTCAGTTTTTGGCTTCTTTATTCTTAGCTGATAAAAGAATAAATTCATACAATTTGTTGGGTGCTCACAACCTGTAATCCTAGCTAATCAAGATGCTGAGATCTTGGATCATGGTTCTGAGCCAGCCCAGTCAGGAAAGTCCATTAGACTCTTATCTCCAATTAACCATTAGAAAATGGAAAGTGGCAGTGTAGCTCAAGTGGTAGAGTAGCTAGCCTTGAGCAAAGAGCTCAAAGACAGCACCTAAGCCTGGAGTTCAAGCCCTATAATCAGGGGGGAAAAAAGCATACAATTAACAACCACAATTATGTTTGAGGAATAGTTCTTGATAAATTTATGGTACATGCCAGGGTTGTGAAAATCATTGTAAATATGCTCCATTTTGCAACACCTGTTGAACTTTTATTAAAAGTACGTAATTATGTGATGCTTTTGGTTTATGCAAGATTCAATTATACGCAGTTTTATCTTTGGATTGTTAACCTTATGATTCTTTTTATTTCTTTAATAAAACTTTTCAACTCACATCTATGTATGGCAGAGCTTTGAGGCCAGGATGATCCTTCAGGTTATTTAAACTTAAAAAGAAGATATGTCTTTTATGACTTTTGTTTTATTCTTGGTTAGCATAATTTGCAACAAATTTTTTCTCAGAATAATAGCAACTTAAAACAAAAGTCATTTATGGCCTCATCGTTTGTATGGGTCAGGGATCCAGGAGCAACTTAGTTGAGTACCTCTGGGGTCTCTCACAAGGCTGTGGTTAAGTTAATGGTCAGGGCAATATTCACTTTGAGGCTTGACTTGGGTAGTCAGCTTGCCAGCATTTCAGTCTCATTGACATGACTGTTGTCAGGGTCAGGCCCTCACTGAATATTGAGAAAAACATCCATTCCTGTGTGAGTCTTTCTAGGGTAGTCCACAGCACGGCAACTGGCTTCCCTGAGAACAAACAAGAATGTAAGAAATCCCAAGACAGAGTACATTGTCTGAAGGGGCCTCATAACTTTTGCTATCTTCTATTCATTAGAAGTGAGTCACTGGGTCCAGCCCACACTTACAAGGAGGAAATAACACGAGGGAATAAGTAGTAGGAGGTAGGGATATTTGGTAGCCATCTTAGAGGCTACCTGCCTGCTCCCACAGCAGTGAATCATTGGATGCCCGCTGCTCTAAGAAGGGTATACCCTTGGGTGAGGCAACTCTCTTCCACCACCTCAGTTCTCAGAGAGCACCCAGTGGAGTTGCACACCAGCAGCCTTCCTGATACCTGGTGAAACTAGACCCATCAGTTCTAGGTGAGAGATGGGATGTTACTGAAAAGGACTCGCTTCAATATGTGTAATCCCTATTTAACCAGAATATTTAATCAGCCAGAATTTCTCTTGTTATGTAAACCTGTAATGTTTCCCTATCTCTTTTAAAAGAAGGAATAAATTATATCGTGCCATGTATTAGAATTAAGTCTGTTCTTGCTATGGAAGTTCAGTTCAAACTTTACAATAAATCATTGTTAAAAGACAATTTTGAGGGCTGGGAAGGTGGCTCAGTGGTAGAATGCTTGTCTTGCATGCATGAGGCCCTGGGTTCAGTTCCTCTGTACCACATAGGCAGGAAAAGCCAGAAGTGGCTCTGTGGCTCAAGTGGTAGAGTATTAGCCTTGAGCTGAAGAGCTTAGGGACAGCACCCAGGCCCAAAGTTCAAGCCCCATGACCAAAAAAAAAAGGCAATTTTGAGAGCCAGATATGGTGATGTATTCAGTAACTAGCTATACACGAGGCAGAGGTAGGAAGATCACAGTATGAGGCCACCCTTAGTCAAAAAGTAAGCCCCTATGTGGGCTTAGGGACATAGTTCAAGTGGAAGAACACTTGCCTATCAAACCCAAGACCCTGAGTTCAATCTCTAGGACAACAGCAAAAAATGTTTTAAAGTAAGCCAAGGTCCTAGATGCCAAAGTATTTTCAAAACAGTATTTATTCTTTTCCTAGATGTGTAAAGTTGATCGAAGGAGCTACGGATAGACAGGAACAATAGATTACTTTTTTCAGATTGTAAATTCTTTAGTCCTCTAGTTTTTCCTCAACTTTGAGATATAGTATTAATTCCATTATTTTCTTCTTTATTTCATAGGTGAAGATGAACAGGTGCCTGATTTTGTCACTTTCCTTTATCAAATAACAAGAGGAGTTGCGGCAAGAAGTTACGGACTCAATGTGGCTAAACTAGCAGATGTTCCTGAAGAAATTTTAAAGAAAGCAGCCCACAAGTCAAAAGAGCTGGAAGAATTAGTAAATAAGAAAAGGTCAGAATGTTTGTGCTGTACTTATTTGGATTTTTAATGAAATCTTCCAAGTTGTACAAGGAAGAGAATTATCCTGCAAATGAATATTAGATCTACTTTAAAGCATTTCTTCCTGTATGCTGAAACATTTAATTATTCGTAAAGTGAAAAACAGCTTTTGGCAATTCTCAGATGCATTCACTTTGTCATTTTCAATCCCTCTTTATCGATCACTTAGATCTTTATTAAGTTAGAAAGTAGATTTTCAGTCATTTTTCTAAAGGATTAAATTAACTCCATGTATGCCAACACATTTGCTGCTTCATAAGGCAGTTACATTAAAAAAAAGCTTCAGTATTTAGTTACCAAAAAAAAGCTTCAATATTTAGAACCTGTAGAGGGTTTCTTTTATTCATATACTGCATTGAGATTGCATTCAGAAATTGAGAATTCTGTCATGATATGAAGGAAAATTACCATATCACTAACCATGAAATCATAGTTTCTATGTGTCACTTATTTTGTGATTTGTTTGTGATAGTTTTCATTCTAAGCTAGCTTCTCTCTGTCACCAAGATTGTTTACGTTTTGTACCTTTTTCCCCTTGACATCCAGCCAATATGTATACAGACTAATCTAAATCGATTGATGGATGATAAATTACAGCTTTTTTTTCAAATAGAAATTATGACATAACATAACTCCCTAACTCCTGCCCTGCCTAAAGCGTGTGATCTGACAAGGGCAGGATGCTACTTCCCAATGAACCAGATTATTGATCAAATAAAAAATCTTGGCTGACTATCAGTTATGTTAGGGGAAAATTAGAGAAACTTGTATTTGTATATTGTTGTGAAATACATCTTTTCTATATTTCCTCCAACCAGTGGTTCTATCTTCCATACCATACCTTGTAAAGGGTGTATGATAATTAACCAAGACCCAAGTACTGGAATCATGCAAATGATTTGTAACCCCCACCACTGATGCCGCTTTCTTGATCAGCTCCACAGTGCCTCATCAGAAGCAAGGGGTATAATTAGTCTCAGTCTATTTCCATTACAAGGCAAATTAGTATATTTTTTCCAGACAGAAAATTATGAGAGTTTAAAAATAAATCTAGCCCTTAATCCTCTACAGAAATCTAAAGATAAATATAAGTCTTTCATTGTTGTCTTATTGTCGTTTTTAAATAAAGAAACGAAACTAAAACTCTACTCCAAAGGACACATATACAACCTGGCAATAAAATAAGATAGATTATATATGTTGCTTTATGTAGTCTATGAAGCAGTAGCCAGGAAAGCTACAGATTATTTTCATTTTTTCAGTTAGTAAGTGACATTTTAAAATCTATAAAGGTATCCTGACAAGACATGAGAATTACTGAAAGAAGCTACATTGAGAATCTGATAATTCATCAGAGCACTGTATTTATTTAATCTTTCCCTAAAAGGGTGTATCATGTCAATTCTCTAAGCCAAAGAGATCAAAGAAATAAAATCAAGTCTCATACCTTAGGTGGGGATGTGTCACAATAATTGAGACTTACTGAACTCTCACTGTGTGCAGAAACAAGTATTAGCAGTCAATGTGTGTGTTGACTGCTCTATGAGAGGATGGTCAATGATCTTATTAATGAGCTTATTGCTTGATATGCATTGATTCAACCCTTAGACAACCTTATGAGTTAGTACTGTTGTTATCCCATCTGATAGTTGAGAGGAATGAGACCAGGCAAGGGCAAGAAGCTGAGCCACAGTCACAGCAAGTTGGATGTCAGGTAGCAACTGGAATTCAGATGCTCTATCTAGCCCCAGACCTGAATGTTTCACTGGGCGGCTCTTCTGCAGGGAAAGCATAGGTCTGTGTTGTGGCAATGTTACTCTTTCATTAGCTAGCTTTATTTCATTAAACTAGTTTCGCCTTTCATCCTGGGGCCATTCAGCAGGAATGATTTTGTCTCCATATGCAGTAGGCACACACAGCCAGCCTTGGCCAGAGTCAGGAGTGGAGCAGTCACATTGTCTCTGCAGTAGGCAGGGATTTAAGAAGGCAGCAGGGAAGCCTTCATGGTGATCAGTAACTTAAGTGCCTGGATTATAGGGCAGCAGTTCTGGAGGTGTTGCTACCACAGCTTCCTAACACATACCTGCCTGCTAGTCTAATGGTGTAGGCTTTGCATGGCTCTCCATGAGATGGGTTGTCCTCGGGAATCTTGTTTCTAAACTGAGTATATTTTATTTGTCCCCTAGGAAAAGCTTAAAGTATTTTACAAAATTATGGATGACACATAATGCAAAAGATCTACAAGAGTGGACAGACAGCTTTCAAATGGAAGAAATACAAACTTCTTTTCCTGATTAAGATGAAGACTACGTTTTTTTAAACAATTTTAAAAAAGGAGAATTAAGAATACCAACTGTGCAAAGTAACTCTCCACTAACAGCCATCTTTGTGTGACATGTGAGCATAAAATTATGACCATGGTATATTCCTTTTAGAAACAGATATTTTTACTCTTGAAAGTTTGATGCCTGTCCTGCCATTTCAAAGGATAAACATATAAACACTTTTGGATTTGAAGACTTCCATTATGTAATTTAAAAATTTCCTTGGTATTAAGTCTCATATAAAATCTAAACCTTTTAAACAAAACCTAAAGTGGTAGAACGTAGTACATTAAACATTTGGAGGCTACTATACATTCTTAATAGATATTTATATTTGTTTCAGTCCAGACAATTGGCAGCAGTATAAATCTGGTAGGAATCTACCTTTCACTTTGAATTAAATTAATTTTATAGTATCACCAGTTTATTCACATGAATATAAGAAGATTCCATAAGAAATAAAGTTATTGAGCTTTTAGAAACTAGAGCACAGGAGAGGAATAAGATGATGTGAAATTTGAAGAATTAAACTCACATTTTAAATATTGTTGGATGAAATTATTTTGTCATTCAAGTAATAAATATTTAATGAATGCCAGCTGCACATTCTGTTATGGCCTGTTCAGTCTTCGATATACGTTTTCCAATATCTGGCAGTTGTCATTGTTAGCTTGAACTGTGGAAAAAGGTTGCTGTTCCTCCAACAGCATTCAGCAGAACTAAAGTCAATCTCTGTGACCAGTCTACTCATCAAGAGAACACATGATGCCCTTCTTCGTGTTCAGTCTCATGGCTTTGTGGATTTACACTGCCCTCTTCCCTGCAAACTTAGGGTGATTTGTGCTCAACTATGTCTCTACATCTTTAGAGCACTTAGCATCCGGCTTCTTATATCCATGTATTCTCCTTGTTTCTAAATGTGAACTTACGTAAAACATTCATCCTATTTCCCAACTATCTACTATTTTTTTTTTTTGTCAGTCGTGGGCCTTGAACTCTGGGCCTGAGTGCTGTCCCTCAGCTTTTCAGCTCAAGGTGAGTGCTCTACCACTTGAGCCACAGCGCCACTTCTGGTTTTCTAGTGGTTTATTGGAGGTAAAAGTCTCACGGACTTTCCTGCCCAGGCTGGCTTTGAACCTCGATCCTCAGATCTCAGTCTCCTGAGTACAAGCGTGAGCCACCGATGCCCAGCTCTACTATTTTTTTCTCACTTAAATTTCCTCCCCACATTTAATGGGCACTTTTGTCATTCCTTCTAGATTATTTCCTTTGGTGTCCTCAACAATGACTTTAGACTTAGGAGTCAATATAATCTCCTTGAGTTTATGGAGACTAGTAGGTTGTGACCCATTGCAGTTAGACTTTAACTCCATTCTCAACTTTTTTGGGACTTAGAAAATCATGTATTTTGAATCTACCATAAACAGAAATAGATAGTGGAACTCTCAAAAATATCTCCAGAGTTAATTGGAATATACCCTTTAAATTTAAAAAAAATGGATGCAATTTTTCTATGACTGTAGAAGTTTTATGTGGTTTCTAGCAAGATCTCAAAGATACTGCTGTAACTTTACTATCATGATGAACAAGGATGAACCCAAGAATGGCATGCTCATGCCAGAGGGAGCTGCAGAGGTAAGCATCACCACACTGTCAAGCCGACATCCAGGAGGCCACCCTCTGCCTCTGACTGGGTCCTGACCAACATCAACATCCAGAGAGGTGGGATTCTGGGAGCAGTGTGTCCCTGCAGAGGCAATGAGTACTGTCTTAGAGTGGACAGCAAGGAACATTACAGGCTAGGTCCTAAAGCACAAAGCAGGCTGTCAGCCTGCCCCTAGAGGAAGAGGTCTGCTGCATTCAGAACAGAAGCCTGGCACTGCTAGCCTGAATTTCTGAATGACGCTCACTCCCAGCCAGTTTACTGAAAAGTGGAGGGGAAAGTCACACTGAATCCCTGTGATTAAGATTGCACATGTGTCACTGAGATGCCAACATGTCAAGAAAATGACTTGGAAATATGATATATTCCTTTTAGTGATTTGTCCTGTCTTTTACAGACTAAGTCCTGATAATCCTACATAACAGCTACCAGTTCCTCAAAAATCTTTGGAAATACAGACTTCAGTTTAGTAAGTCTAACCTAAAGATTAAAGAAAAAAGAGCCACGTTAAGGATGTAGCTCAGGGTCAAGACTTGTATTTGTTCCCCAGGACCAACCCTCCTTTCACCCCAAAACTCAAACATTCACCTTTGACCTCCCTGATGTTTGATTGTTCATCAGTACTGTTTGTACTGTACTGTTTTAAGAATATGCTTATCTGCATTTCTATAACTTATCATTTTTAAAAAGAGAAAAAGAAAAGAATAAAAAGTGCAGATTTTTAAATTATAGTTTGAAGGAAAAAACTAACACATTTGAATTATTCAGTGTATCCTATTGGTTTTTCAGGGCTAAGTATTAAAATCCCGTGATTCCCACTCATGGCTTAACCAAGGACTAAGACCTAGGCTTAGTATTTCTGATCAGCTGTTGACATCCTTCAGGTACAGTAATTCAGTTGTTTAAGTGTACAATTCAATGGCAGCTGTTCCTTTGTCCAAAAAATGTTTGGCTGTCACTGCAATTAACTTGGAATGCTCTCCTCACTCTAAGTAAGGAAACTTGCACCTATCATCAATCACTCTGTGTTCCCCTCAAAGCCTCAGCTCTGGACAACTGCTAATCTGTATAGTCTTTATAGCCTCTTGTGGACATATAAATAGAATTGTATAGTATGTGGTCTCTTCTGTCTAGGATCTTTCACTTAAAATGGTATTTTCAAGGTTTACCCATGTTGAAGCATGAAATAGTATTTTAATCCTTTTACTTGAACATTCCATTTCATATATATTCTACAAGTAATCCAATGTGCATTGATGCACTGTGAACATTAACATATAGATATTTTTTATGTTGAGAAGCATAGTATATATATATATATATGTATATATATATATATATATACTATGCTTTTTTAAGTCCCGTAGTAGTTCTGATGTAAGATCGGATCTGTACTGCTGTCTCAGTGATTACAAGTGATTAAGCAGTACTTATAGTTAGGATGGCAGTCATTTGTTTCTTCTGTCTCTTACTTTATCTGCCACATAGGACAGAGAATGGACTACTATAGACTCTAGTAAGTACTTGACAAAATAAAGAGGAAAAAAAAACAACAACCTAAATCTTCTTAGGTCAGAAACTCAATGAAAAAACTACTCAAAATTAAGGCACCAATTCACCAGAGTCAAGATCTCCACAGAAGTGTGCTGTATCTTAAAACAGAAACAAATACTTTCCTTCAAACTTTCCTCAAATCTGAGCCTGTTGTCATGGTGGAAGTCATTCTCCACTGAGTGAATTTCAGAGAAAGGCTAGATTGAACTCGGTGTGTTCTCCAAATTAATGTTGACCTTTAGGAAGTCTCAAAAATCAATAGTAATTATCGCTGTGCTATGTAATTATAAAAGTGCTATTTTGTGCTTCACACCAAGAATATAGGTGGAATGGGAAAGTCACTTGCATTAGTGCCATCTGTGGTTTCTGACTCTGATTAAGGTCAGTCTCCTGAGTAGCTAATATTACAGGCATGAGCCCTTGACACCTGGTTCAAATTTTCTTTTATTTATCTTTGTGAAATTTCCCGTTATAGTGTCAGTTTTTCTAGATAGTTCCTTTTTGTTTTGCCCATCCTTCCACTTATTCTGTTGGAACTGCCTTGATAGTTGTAAATGAGGCTTAAAGTTTTGTTTTTCAGTATCATATTATAGGAGAGAATTTAGTGTCTGGTCTCCTATACTACTTGCTTCTCTATCTCATTTGCCTCTCTTTTTAGTTATCTGATAATGCTCCATGATTTTCTATATGTCTGTTATTCTGTTTTTAAGACATTATTTAACTTCAAAACTGCTTAGCAATTAGTGCTTTTATCTGTATTTACCACATAATTTTGTATTTGTTTCTGTGCTTAATTGGAATTCATTCATATTTCTCGCTTTTTCATGTCAAAAGTTTTAGATAGGGGCTATATCTTCAACAATACGTATTTTTTAAAGAAACAATTCTTGACTATTCTGTTTCTGCATATTTTTTTGTGTGATCTGACTTTCCTTTGCACCCAGTTTGAATGGAAGCTTGAAGTTGTTGTTGTTTAAGGTCTCATTGCCTTTTGGCATCAGGTATTGCTAAAGAGAAACATGAGATCAGCTTGATTTCTTTTCCTTTGTGATTTCCCCACATGTTCTTGATCCTGGAGTTCTGTAGCATCAATAGAATTTGTTTCACTAATAACCACATTCTGTTAATTTTTCCAAAACATATGAATGCTTTTCTTCTGCTTTCATGTGGGAAAAAAAGCCTCTCTTCTAGTGCATTTGAGTATAATATTTTGTTATTTTGTCTTCTTTAGGGAACAGTTACCACATGTTGCATTTTAAACTGTACTTGGTTGTGCAGTTCATAATAACTTTAATTTCTGTGAGTTTATGACTTTCTATATATTTTTTTCTTCCTTGATGCCCTTTCCTCTTCCTGTCTCTCCAGATCCTCAGACTACATTTAGTTCCAGGAGTAATTTTCAAGTGTATATTCTGCATTATATTTTTATGTTAACGTCCCTTCCTACTTAGAAAATTAGTTTTGCATGGATTATATACCACTGTTTTTCTCCTTCTAACTTTGAATGAGGACAGTTTAACATCAACCTGCTTTTTCCCCATGTAGTGAAGGATGCATGAATGCTCCTGTCTTTCCCTCATCCTATAATCTCTATGCTCTCATTGTCAGGGGAAGCAGGCAGTGATGCTGGGCAGCAAGAAATCAACTAGCCTGCTTAAAGAATGCAGTGCCCAGGCACAAAATCATCCTGTCTCTTTCATCTTCCATCATGGATCATGTCTAGTGTGGTGTGAGGGGAGAGATGAACAACCTCACTCCCCCCACCCCCAGTGTGATCCAGTGGATCACAGGACATTGTGAGGTCCTACAGCTCATAGGCCATTTGTTGAAGGTCCAGTCTTACCTATTTTATTCAGTTCAGTCATGCTTGCTCTACAGAATGCTACTTTCCTCTGCTCCTGGCCTCCCTCCTTCATTAAGAAATGAGAGAGGAGAAAGTAAGAATTACATGAGCGTCAGACATATCCTACATGCTCCATGATGGCATCGTGCACATCATGCACATCAGTGCAACTGGACATAAGACTACCCTAGACAGCTGGAAGGCCTCCTTTGGTTAATGAGAAGGCAGCTAGCTTTGTGTGACTATGGTGACATTCTTTTTATTTGGATAATTCTAGTTTCATAGGTGTGTCAGTTTGCTGCATATTAGTCCTTGTTACCCTTTAGTAAGGAGGTAGTTTTGTTCTAAATGTGTGCTGAGCTGAAAGGTCATCCTTCAAACCTGCTTCTCCTTGAGGCTGTCCATAGACACGGATGTTCACTTCCTTTGCTGAGACTATCCATGCCTCTCATCTCACCATAACCAAGGTGAGCACCTTGTGCCAGAAGGCTTTCCACGTCTCCCATCTTCTCCCTACACCTGTCTCTTAAGGCAAGTTCAGATG